AGTTTTTGGGTTGTTTTATTTTTAATTACATAGAAAGTCAGTTTATCGTTGCTCTCGCGTCTGTATCTAATGTTGTTGGTAATGGTTGTCAAAAATAAAGAGAAGAAAGAGAGAATGGTTTAAAAGGGTTTGTTCGAATTAGTTTTTGTCGAGGTTTGTTCCAAAATCTTTGATGTAACTTTCATTTGTATAGTGAATTTCTGTTTGCCGTGCCCGTGGATGCAACCCATTTGGGGTGAACCACGTAAATCTTTGTGTTCTTATTTTATATATTTTATTCTTTATTTTTCATACTTTATTTGCCAAATATTAGCTCATCGAGTTTAGCGCTTCCGCACACATCTTGAACCGTCATTATGCTCTATCAAAAGCCATTCCCTCATTAAGACCATAAATCCCCCATATTTTTTTACCTAAAATCTATCGAAAAATCAAACAAGAGGAACAATGCATCTCAGGCCATCCATTATTAACATCAAAACTTCAAGAGGGGCCAAAAAGGGTAAGAAACACAAATGGTTGCATCCTGCAACATAGCACTAACATCACTTTCTAGTTTTTATTCGAACCAATTTACCCATCCAAAAGATATGAATTTTACTTTTTCCCATTATATGTTAAGCGAACAGAGCGATTCAAACAATATTATTTCTCTTTCCATGCCTTCTGAGTTATACAAACTTGATTTGGATCGTGTATTGTAACTGCTTGTTTCGTTGGTATGAATGTTTGTGTTAGTTTCTGTTTTGATTTCTATAAAAACTATAACGCTTTTGCACATAGGATTAAAGCATGCATTCCGGATTCATATACAAATTTAAATTCTTTCTTATATGCCTTTGCAAATCATCTTGAAGATAGATACGTGAAGTGGTTTGGGAACACAATTATTGAATTACATCTCCTAACATAATTATGGGATTGTCTAGAAAGAGACCTTTTATCTTTTGTATATGAAGGTCACAATCATTATTGTCCATTTCAAAATGGGTGGTTGTAAGATTATTATTCAATAGACAAAGTTTTTTTTTTTAAAAAAAAATTCTTTAGACTTTGAGACTCACCCTAAGACATCCAATTTGACATGTAATAATGAGATATAATGATTGTGACCTTTATGTACAAAAAATAAATGGTCTATTTATAGGCAATCCTCATAGTTATTGAACAATTGCCTTCTTTGTCTAATCACTTATAATGATAAAAAGAAATTTATGCTAATATCTCTAATTTTTCAATAATTTAATTATTTTTCAATTATGCCAACTCATGATCATGCATATTTTGATAAATATTTTAAAAATTAAATAAAAGTACTAATAACATATTAAATAGTTGATCTCTTATACCTATGGTGATATATATCAAGGATCTTCTCCATCCGATGGGAGAGAGGGGCCTGTGAGATCTAGTGTAAGTTCATGGTTTCCACAGTTAAATATTGTACTGCTAAACATACATAAAAATATATATATTAAAGAATATTTTATTGTCAAACATACATGAAAAGTATATCATTATCATCATAAAAAAAAAAATTTAATTAATTGAGATAGGCTACACAAAATCCAGTTAGCCATTATACTATATCAAACGCATGCTTTCAATGAAGCCATAAGTCTATATATATTTTCTCACTACTTTCAGTGATGTTCTTTTATGTCTATTCCATGCTTTTTTTAAACATTCCACTTGAATCAATTCTTAATCATTGTTACAAATTGAACCTTCCATTTGAACCAGGTCTTAATAATTGTTGTATTGGGTTTATGCCACACATGATGAATCTTCATTAGTTCTCTTTCTCATTTCATTGTCTATTGGTATTACATTTTATTTTAAATGTATTCATTTCAAATTCTATTTCTTTTGTTTTACTAATCCATCTCAACATCATTATCCTTGCTACACTCATTTTATATAAATATATAATATTTTTTTGACCGCCCAACATTTTACCTCGTATAGCAAAACTAATGTTAATATTATTTTATGGAGCTTGCGTTTAAAATTTTCCATTGCACATCTCTACTCGGCCAATGTGGGCGCCACAATTTTGTCAAAAACATGGCATGCCCAAAGTGTGTCGTGCAGTCTCGAATGGAGAGAGCCTAGGGAGTGTCGTGCCACCTACACCTTTCTAGATGTAAAAACACGCCATCCATTAAACCCTCTGCTACGTGTGAGTACCACGTGCATGACACACACGTGTCACCGATTTTATACTTAAAAAACGCTTTATTCCGTGACGATCTCTTCCAGACACCCAAAATTCTTGTTATTCCACCTTATGTTGTGATAGTTTCGGGTGAGTTTACTACATACAAACGAGGTGGTTAAACTAGACAGCCGAGCTCACGAAAACAAGCCTTCTCCATTTTCTCTCTCTATCTAGCTTTTTTTTTCTCTCTCTAGCTCTCATTTTCGGCCTTTTCTCGACCCCCCTTCTGTTTTTAGCTCCATTTAATCCCTCTGGTTCATCAGAGCTCCAGTGGTTCGGTTATGGCGCTGAGGATTCTCTTCAAAAAACCCTGTTTCCCAATTCCAAGCCACTATGGATCGACTGTGCCTCTCCGTCAGTTCAAGACCTTCAGTTTACCAGAACTCCCTTATGACTATGGAGCCCTAGAGCCCGCCATCAATGGCGAGATCATGCAACTTCACCATCAAAAGCATCACCAGGCCTATGTCACGAATTTTAACAATGCCCTTGAGCTGCTCGATCAGGCCTTGGCTAAGGGTGATGCCTCTTCGACTGTGCAGCTTCAGAGTGCCATCAAATTTAATGGAGGAGGTTGCTAGTTTTCTGAATTGGATTCTGATTATTCAATTTCTTTTGTATTTTTCTTTATGTTTTAATCTCAGTTTGTGTAGTAGTTGGAGTGAGTCAGGGCTTTAGATGGAAAGTAGTATTTTTGTTGTTGTGAGAATGTAGATGGAAAGCAGTATTCATTTGATAATTTTTTGTTTGTGCTAGTGTTTGGCGGTTATTGCTCTGATTCATGGGTTTTTACATTTGGATGGTTGGTATGGATTTAGCGCGTCAAAATTTGGCGGTATAAGTAGTTTTCAAGTTCTTACTGGTTGATGTTTACCATTTCCGCTATTATTGAATTTGGAGGAACCTAGGGTTTCTTGAATTCTAGGTTTCTATTGCCCGGTGAATCTTTTTTCCTTAGCATTGGACTTTTTTTTTGCCGATTATGTATTGACTCCAAATCCTTTTCACATAAATGGGATGTATTAGCGTTTTTTAGTCTCGTCATGTTGAAGAGCTTGAATTTATGCTGCTGATGACTCTTCCTTATTTCTCTCTGTAATGCTATAATGGATTCGTCTTTTTGGAACTGAAATTTGACCTTGGGTTTTGTATATTAGAGTTACTGAACTCTTGATGAGTGCTTCTGCTATTTGTTTTTTGATTTTTTTTGCATTTTAATTGCTTTCACCTTGTAGATGCTTGCATTTCAAAATTCATTCCTTTGCTGAGTTCTTCATACTTTCCCAACTTCTACTGTGATTTTATTTCTAATCTAAGCTGCATAGTGAAATGGAGGTGAGGTTGTGAAGTTCAGAACTTCTGATCAAAATATCAAACTATGTTATTTAGCTACTGAAACCTTCTCATTCTCTAATCTACCCTAGTGGTATGAAGCTGATAAAAGTTGATTAAAATACCGAAGTGATTTTGGCTGAAATTACCTTATGTTTCTTTGTTATTCGAAACCCACTCTTCCTTTATCTCCTTCTTATGCGTTCATCTTGTTTTAACTTACCCCGTTTCTTCACAGTGGCTAGTCCTCTTCCTTTTTTTAAGATTCCAATCCCTTATTTTTGGGTACCCTTTCCCCTTCCTGTCCGCAAAGTCACAAACTACCGTCGCTACTCTGCCTTTTCTACATAGATTACCATCGCTTCTTACTTGTTCCCTTGCCCTCCTCCATTTTCACAAGTTTTATTCGATATATCTTAATCATAATGTTGGTTTGAGAGTTTCCAGGTCATTGTATTCAATGACCTTGTTATAATATATATCAGTTAACATTATAAAAAAAAATGTTGGTTTGAGAGTCATGGTGCTTATTGCGTGCTTTTTTCTGCTTTCTTTACATTTCAAATAGAAGATCAGTTGTTTATTTCCATTTCGTGTACCTCGTCACTTGTTCTTCCTTCTATTCTTACATTTCAATTAGAGTTCATAAAGGTTTCTGCCCTTTCTAAATATGGATAGGTCAGCTTGTTTGGATTTTTGGGACGAAGCTCAATGGTTTGGACACTTGACTTCCATCATCCAAATTGATATGTCTACCAGTGACCCAGAGCCCAAGGGGCTGTCCTTTGTAATAATTAGTTGAATGGTAGATCATAGACCTTTTTTTTATACATAACCGATGAATGGTTGTTTGTGATTTAAATTGACATTTATGTTTGTTGATCTTAAAAGTTGACCCGTAATTTGATTGTATAGAGACTAACTGGCAAATCTCCCTTGAAATTTGTGCTTCATGAAGTGAGTTTGTTCATGTGGATTGGGGTTGGGGGGAAATGGATTTTGCAAGCCCTTGAGCTAAACACCTAGCTTGGGGGATTTGTTTGACCCAAAAACCCTCGTATCATGTTTATTCATGTTTACATTGAATCTTCAAAAAAAAAAAAAAAAAGGAATTGGAGCTCAAAAAGTGCTTGATCTAAAATCGGCATCAAGAAGAGCTCTAGACCATCCTTTTGCCAATACTCGATCTAGGCTTTAAGTGCTCAAAATTGTTTTTTTTTTTTCACCCTAATCCTTCTAAGTGTGAAGGATTGAGGATTTGGAAAATTTCAGGTCAAAGAAATATCCCCAGTCATGTGTTTGTCCTTGAGTGATGATATATCTATTTGTGTGTGGGCGTGTTAGTTAAACTACCTTTATTCAACTGGAACTTTTAATTCAATATATGTTTCTTAGGTCACATCTTCAAGCTTCTAATTTATTCTTCTTGCAGGCCATATAAACCACTCAATTTTCTGGAAAAATCTTGCTCCTGTTAATGTAAGCTCCTTTTTTCTCCTTTGTGAACTCCTATTTCTGTTTTGCTTTTTCTCGTTTTTTTCATCTTTGTTGGAGAAATATAAACGTGTGCATGTGTTTAAACTATTGGCAGGAAGGAGGGGGTGAACCTCCAAAAGGTCCTCTTGGTTTGGCGGTTGAAGAACATTTTGGCTCTCTTGAAGAATTGATAAAGAAAATGAATGTTCAGGGTGCTGCTTTACAGGGTTCTGGATGGGTGGTAGGTCATGTTGCTCAGCACACTCCTGTTAGGCTCTCTAGCTATTTGTGGATGAGAGGGCATTGTCCTTTTTTTATATGTTTTTGTTTTCATGTTAAATTGGGGACTTAGATTTTTCTGATGTCCTTCTAATTGTTCATTTCCTTTGTGCATCCTAACAGTGGCTAGCTCTTGATAAAGAAACAAAGACACTTTCGGTTGAAACAACAGCAAATCAGGTAAACTTTTTACAAGAATACTGCGAGTAAACTTTCGCTCACCTGCCTTTTGAAATATCATGGAAAAGGTGCATTATATGTTTTATTATTTGATATCTATCATAGTGAATCCAATGTCACTGAGGATTTATTTTCTGATGGTTAAATGTTATTGCTGAAAAATAAATATTACAGCTGTCTCAAAGCATGAGAATGTTTTCCTGAGGCTCCATGATGGGCCTGAGCACATGCCATGTCAATGATTTATCAATCTATAAGTTGATGTCTGAATGTCATGTATTCTGTTAAATCTCCTTAATCACATCTGCCAACCTCCACATACGCATTCATCTTATCCAACCCATCTACAATCAAGGGTACAGAGAACGAACATACAAATATCTCATGCCCAGAAGGATATCCTTGGCTTTGGGTCTTGCAGTCTCCAGTCTCCACCATAAGTAAGCCTACGATTATCATGTTGACATTGTGTTACTCATCCCCAGCTAGGCCTGGCGTTGGACCCTTGATACCCTGATACAGGTATGGCTAAAACAGTGGAGGTACACCATCACCATTCAGATAAGCGGTTGAAGCTCAAATATGACTTATGAGATTCAGAATGCATTGGTTTCATTCGTTGTTCTGTAATTCTTTGGCAATATTTTGTCTTTTCTTGTTGCACTTTCACTACACAATCTGCATGTTATTCGTTCATTTGTTTCTTTCATCAAGTTCAAGGACTTCCCAGGACGATATTGTTTATTCATATGTTTCTGTAAGAGAACTGTTGTTGCCCTTTGGTTTTATTTCATATGGATACAACTTAAGGACCAATTTAGGAATCATGCCCAGGGGTATTCTTCCTTTTACTATTATGGAATAAGGAAAAACTAGGTGTTTTTCTTTTCCCTTTGGCTATAATCAGATAGCCATTTTTCAATGGCATTTTCTGCAGAACCGGTGTTTCAAAAGATATGGACATAAACGGGTTGCAGTAGTGTCCCCGTACAAGCAGAGGAAGATAATGGTATTAATGGTGTTTAGTGGTTCATCCAAACTGGCCCTAATAAAATTACGCAATCTATGACTATTGTATACGGGGTTGAAACAAGATCAGTCACACTAGAAGCTTCCCTTGGTACGTAGAAATTGGATTTACGTTTAAGGAAGCCCTTATCCCTGATGCTGGAGCCTTTGCCTTGGTGGGTTCTTGAGTTTGAACTTCAATAGTGGACATGGGCTTCAATATCCTACTGCTTAGAAGTGAGATAATATCTTTATCTGAATGTTTCCAGCTAAAGTGCCTTCTTTCTTCATAAAGTAATTAACGGCTTCTATTGAAATTTGGATTGTTGCTTTCATTTCTCCAATATAATTTTGCATATTAATGTTAATATTACTAATATCAATAAACATCATCATCATCCTCATCGTTCGAGCTTTATCCGAAATATTTGGGTCAGCTATACGAGCCCTGCTACGCCATTCCGCTTGAATCAAATCGCTCCACCTAACCAGTGTTGTTTTTGGTCGACGCTGAACATGACCAGCTGACTTAAATCTACTTTCCCTCATCTTATAATAATATAAATATTAATAATATTAGGCAATATTAATATTAAAATTATTAATCTTTCTACGTTAATATTATTTCAAAAGGAATGGGGTCTGCCTTTTTGACGCGTAGATCACTTTTTCAACACACTTGGACTATGCCCTTATGATGTCCGTTTATAGTTGTGTTGACACTTACTGTTATTTTTTATTTCTATTTACTATTATGATTATTAGTATTGTTATTATTATTTTATTGGGGATGGGGGGTTTTGGGGAAGGAGGGGAAAGGTAAATAAATTATGCGTAAAACTTAACAGCATATACTTTTATGGTCTCTTGTTTTGGTTTTTTACTTCATATTACATGTATCATTTAGCTAATGCGCACGATTTTCCTCGAATGTTTTTGTGATAGGATCCACTGGTAACCAAAGGAGCAAGCCTGGTTCCATTGTTAGGGATTGATGTATGGGAGCATGCTTACTACTTGCAGGTAGTTTTTTGTTCTCTTCCATGCTGGTTGATTTCTTGACAGTATGTATTTTTATTGAATGAAATTCCCTTAATTCAGTTACAGTCATGGGTAAAATGTCTGTATTTGAGGCAAGTCCCCTTTTATTGGCTCTCATAGCTGGGAAAGTCTGCACATTGTTCAAGAACTTCATCATTAATGGAATGAATTTGTTCAAAGAAAGTGAGTAGAAAAGTTAGAGCTCAATCTTTGCAGATATTACCTGTTGACTGATCTCTAGAGATTAATCGTCTAGGGTGAATGCAAGATTTGATCTAGTAGTGTGAGAGAGATATGGGACCTATTTGATGAATCTTGAAGTAAAAGAAACACCATATGTGGTTTTGAGTGGAGTCTTACGGTTAAAGTTGCAGCTACATACAGAGGTTGACCTCCATGTTCGTGCATGATGGTGTTTTGTTCAGCATAACAAAGATGGCTAGAGGGGGGAGAGGTCTGTGACACTGTGTTTTTAGTGTCCTTTAGAGGGAGACGTGTGCATAGAGAGGACGGGGGTGACTTGTTTCTGATGGTTTTGGCTTCCTTCTTTTGGTTTAGAGAGAGAGAGAGGGAGAGAGTACCGAAGCCCAAGGATATACTCTCTCTCTCTCTCTCTC